GAGGCTGCAGTCCTAAGGGAATTTAAAGTAGAAAAGTAAAATTTTTCCACTTCTGAGTTGTTGTTCATTAATGTTATAATAGCATTAAGCAATTAGAAAAAAAAGTCATCTACACATTTAGCTTTCTGAGTGATTTCAAACAATGTCTCATTTCTTTTTGAAATTGTTGTTATTAAGTGCCATCGAGTTGAGTACAGACTCATAATGACCCTATTAACAGCCAACCTAAACCCTACCCTATCCTGTGCCATCCTCATTATCTCTGATACATTAGAGCTCATTGCTGAAGTTGCTGTGTCAATCCATCTCATTGAGGATCTTCCTCTCCTTAATTGACCCTCTGCATGATGTCCCTTTCTAAGGAATAGCCTCGCCTGGCTTTATGTCCAAAGTATGAAAGATGAATCTTCGCTATCTTTGCTTCCAAGGAGCACTCTGGCTGCGCTATTCCAAAGACATATCTGTTTATTCTTTTGCCAGTCCATGGGATATTCAGCAATCTTCTCCAACAACATAATTTAAAGACATCAATTTTTCTTTTGTCATCTTTGTTCCTTTTCTAGTTTTCTGATACATAGCAGGTGATTGAAAAGACATAGCCTGAATCATGTGCACCTTAGTCTTCACACTGGCATCATTGTTCCTCAGTGTTCTGGAGAAATTCCAGTGTAGTACATCTGATTTCCTGACTGCTTTTGTGAATGGTGCTGATTGTTGATCTAAGCAAGATGAAATAATTAACAGCTTCAGTTCTTTCTCCACCTATCAGAAGGTTGGCTATTGGTCCTGTAGTAAGGACCTTTGTTTTCTTGATGTTAAGATGCAGTCTAAAGCAAAGACTGGAGTCCTTAATCTTCTGTAGTAACCATTTCATGTCCTCTTCACTTTTAGCAAGCACAGTTGTGTCATCTGCAAAACATAGGTTATTGATGAGTCTTTCTCTAATTCTGATGCCACATGCTTCATAGGATCCAGTTTAATGAGTTATTTGCTCAGTATACAAATTATTCAAATACTTGAAGAAGTATGGAAAAAAGATACAACCTTGACACACACCCCTCCTCATTTTAAGCCATACAGTGTTCTCTTGCTCTGTTCAGACAATATAGGTATAGATTCCATATGAGCACAATTAAGTGTTCTGGGATTCCCATTCTTCTCATTGTTAGCCATAATTTGTTACAATCCACACAATCTAATGTCTCTGCACAGTCAATAAAATACAAATAAGCATTCTTCTGGTATTTTCTTCTTTCCAGCAGTATCCATCTCACATCAACAATGATATCCCTGGTGCCACAGCCTTTTTTCTAAAACTAGATTGAATGTGTGATAGTTCCTGTCAGAGTACTGTTCTAGCTGTTTTTAATAATCTTCAGCAATATTTTGCTTCCGTGAGATATTCAGGATATTGTTTAATAATTTCTACATTCTCTTGGATCAGCATTATTTGGAATGGGGACAGATACAGATCTCTTTCATTCAGTCAGCCAGGTTGTCCTCCAAATTCCTGACATAAACTGGTGAGTACATCCAGCATTGCAGCTCTTATTTGAAACATGTAAGTTAGTATTCCATTGATTCCTGAGGCTTTTCCCCCCCAATGGCTTCAGTCCTGCTTAAACTTCAGTTTTCATCATCACTGGCTCTTGTTCATATGATAACTTGTTAAATTTTTCCATATCAACTTATTCTTTCTAGGACAGTTATTTTGTGTATTCCTTCCATCTTCTTTTGATGCTTCCTGGATCATTCAAAATTGTGCTCATAGCATCTCAGTCTTGCAGCTGGTTCTTTCAGCTTGAGAAATGCTGAGTAAGTTCTTCCATTTTTATTCTGTGACTCCAGCTCCTTGCACATTTCATTATAATACTTAGCTTTATCTTCTTGAGATGCCTTTTGAAGTCTTTTCAACTTCTTCACCTCTACATCTTTCCTTTTGTTTTGGCTTTTCAACATGCTAATGCAATTTTCATAGTCTGTTCTGACATCCATTTTGGTTTTTTCTTTTTCTTCTTTCTTTTTAATGACATTTTATAAAGGTTAAGCAGACCAAGGCTTGAATTAAAGCCCTGAGACAGCATAACCTTGATTTTCAGACGGAAGGTGCCTTCTGATAAAGATGTAGTTGTAGAAACAGAGAAGGTTAGCAAATAAGAAAAGAAACAGTAAAAAAACCTCTTGGAGTCCAATTCACATATTATGTAATGAAAAGCTTCTCAATAAAAACTATGTGGATGTAGAAGTGAAGAGGACACTGAACTATGAGTTCCTCTCTTCTTTCTTCATGACTAAGGGAAGTCTTGAGTAGTTCATCCTGATTTCGAGGCACTTTCCTGCTCATCAGAGAAGTGCAATGCCTTTTGCACTTTGCATGGATGACATCTTTGATATCCTCCCATAATTTCTCTGGTATTTGACAATTGGTGTCAGTGTCTCAAAACTGTTTTTGAGATGATTCTTAAATTCAACTGGGATGGACTCAAATTTGTATTTTGGTTGTCGTGAACTAGTTTTAATTTTCTTCAGCTTCAATTTGAATTTGCACATAATTAATTGATGGTCTATTCCACAACGGCATCTGGTCTGGTTTTGACTGAAGATATTGTTGCTTCTCCAACGATTCTCTCTGTAAATAATAATCTGATTCCTGTGCAGTCAATCCATCAGGTGAGCTCCATGTGTAAAGTCTCAGTTTGTGGGGTTTTTTTTAAAAAAGGTATTTGGTATGAATAAATTAATCTTCAGACACATTTGTCATGAAGAGTCCATACTTTCTGACTACCATTCTTTCCTCATTGTTTACAACTTTTGTTTTCTAGTCACCAATAATAATGAATGTATTTTGTTTCCCTATTTGGTCAGCTTCAGACTGCAAAGGCTGGTAGAAACTCTCAGCAAATGTTGGTAGAAACTCTTAATCTCCTTCTCTTTAGCTTTAGTTGTTGGTGCATATATTTGAATAATAGTTTTATTAATAGGTCTTCCTAGTACGCATATTAATAGTATCCTGTCACTCATAGCATTGTATATTAGGATGGGCTTTAAAATTGCCTTTTTTGACTACGAATGCAACACCATTTTTCCTAAGTTTTTCATTCTAACATACTAGATCATGTGATTACCTAATTCTGAGTGGCCCATGCTTGTCTATCTCAGTTCACTGATACCCAGAATGTCAATCTTGATGCATTCCATTTCATTTCTTATGACTTCCATTTTTGCTACACTCATACTTTATCCATGTTCCCATTATTAATGGCTGTTTGCAACACTTTCTACTCGTTTTTGAGTGACTTCTATCTGAGTTCTGTATCTAATACTGTAACCACCCACGTTCCTCTGTTCATAGGGTTTTTGAAAGCCTTTTGTTTTGAAAATGAATGGCCAATCCTTCCTAGACTGTCTTAATCTAGGAGGTTGCAACCACTCCATCATTGGTGACCCTTGCCACATGAGCCACTGGTGATACAGATTCCCACATTAGAGCACAACATAAGCTATACTAGTACAGCAGACTGACAGACATGTGTTGTACTAATGTTTGTGTTGTTGTTGCTTGCCCTCAAGTTGAACATGACTCATAGTGACCCTGTGAACAAAAGGCCTGAAGCCTTTCTATAACTATCATCATTTATCAAAGTTCATAGAGTTTCCAGAGGCATGTTGTTTAGGAAATGTTCCTGTTTCCAAGTTGTACTGATAGGAGCAAATAATAATATTCAAGTCTGTACACATCTAAGATATAGAGTAATTGGCAACATGCAAATCATTCATGAGTAACTTAACTGACAGACAGGTGTTGTACCTCTAAAAGCAAACCATAAAGTCAACAAGGCTTACAAATATAATGGCACATTATACACAGCTGAATCCCATGGCAGTGTGGCAGGATGTGATCCTGGATGGGGGTATTGGCACAGTGGCACAGCTGGATATATAGTGCTGGTTCTTAGCACAGGCCTGAGGGCTGCTGATGCCCACTCTGATGCCTGTAAACTTATGCTTTAAAAAAATAATAAATTCAAGACTTTTATTTTAACAGGATCAAAAACTTTCACACTATGACTGTCTATTGTATAGTGACTCTGTGTCTTTGTAATTTAAATTGTAGGCAAGGACATATTATTTGGAAGTTCTGGTGCTTATAACTTCCCTAACTTTCTTAAATAGTACCTATGCAATGAAATTAATAGAGTAGTTCCTCAAATATTAAGAATTTTTTTATCTTAATGTGAAGTAAACATAATTGAGAATTTAAAATTCACCTCTAATAACAGGAATTCTAGAGGAGAAAATGACTATGTCCAGTAATAACCTTAATAGCTTTCAATGTGTTTTTGCACCGTGTTCATTTTACTGAGTTCATTAAAGGAAATCATAATCTCTGGTTTGAAAGAAATATTTTTTTTCTATACACAAATTAACAGAGTTGAAACTAGCAGCAGGATTTGCTGGTTTTCTTGTGTGTTAAGTTTGGTAATAATCAGTGATGCGCATTTAATTTTAGTGTTATATTTAACTGACTTTGGATTACGGTGGTTAATCTAGTAGTTGTGATAGAGATGTATGGCATGCACAGTCTGAAATATTTCTTTGTGGCCTTTTATAGGAAAGTTGCTAACTTCTGTGCCAGGGTAAAATGTGTGCTCTGTTTTTAGATATTTTGCTAATCTGAGAATGAGGCTAAAATGGAGAAAATTTTGTGAATCAATAAACTTTTTACTTCTGCAGTGGCAGGAGGGACTGTATTAAAGTATTAAAGTGAATCCATCTTTTACATTATGAAAGGTGTTTTTTTATAGCATATCCTTTCCCTTTTATTCAGGTGTTTTAGGTGACTAAGAAATAACAGCCATTGAAGCTAAAAATGTTCTGTAAAACTTTTTAAAAGTGATAGTTCGCTCAACTCCACTCTAAATAGGAAATGTTGAAGTTTGTGTTGCCATCTGTGTTTTTATTTTTAAAAAATATACTATTAGTGAACCTGATGAAAATGAGGTTGCTGGCAGATAAGTAGAAGAAGCGCCTGTAGGGAAGAACAGTTTAAGCAGTGTAAACGATGTGCATTTCCTTCCCTAGCCCATGTTTTGTAACTTCTAAATGATAGCACATTATTTGAGTATTTGCAGAAGAACTAATATTGTAGCAAAAGTAGAACAGGTCATTTTAGACAAGAGGTTACATGGAATATTACTTTAGGAATACTCTGTAATTTCAGTGAGCTTCTTAGCATGTTAGACTTATTAAGTCTTTGAACATTTACGGAGTACTTACTGTGTCTCAGGTACTCGGTAAGGTGCCAAATATTTAAAGCAATTATTACATTTAGTACTCTGTTAATAATGAATAGAGGTCAATAGCCATGGAAATGCAGGATTAAGGTGTTTTAGTTGCTCTGATTGAATGTAAGAAGGAAAGAGATGAGCAATTTGGGCTTGGAGTAAGACTTCTTGTTGTTGTTATGTGC